ACCAGAAAAATAAAAAATGACACTTCATGAACCAAAAGGTTGCTGACCCCTGCTTTAGAAAATCTATTCATGGGTCATTGAGCCCTCTTGTGGTTGTTAGAGTAACTGCAAATGCAGAATGCAAAAAGTCACATTGCATTGACTTATAACTTAAATAGACAATGTATTTTTTTCATGTGTATTTTTTTTATAGTTCTTAAAGTGGTCCTGACTGAATGTATTTGCACATGTTAGTGACCTGTGATAAGAAGCTCGACCTTCAGAAGAAACAGACGCAACGGAATGTATTTCGCTGTCATGTGTTTGGAATAACTGGAAGTGGCAAAACTGGTTTCCTGCAGGGCTTCCTCGGCAGAAACCTTGTGGTCAGTTGCGAAAAACCCCCCACCATAAACCACGAAAAAACATAAACAACACAGACCTTTTAACTTTAGTTAATTGTGACTTTTTTTTTTCATTGAATGAAATAAGCAGATTAGTTAACACTTTACAATAAAGTTCAGTTTGTTAAAATGTCCTAATGCATTAGGTGATTATCAGTGCCGTCCCTAGCTGACGAGGGGCACAGTGCGAGGTAGGGAGCGGGGCCCCCCTTGGTCCGTTCTCGTTCGCCTTCCCGTTAGCCAATCTGTTCGCGATCACGTTCTGTTCATTCATAGTACATTAATGCTAAATTATACAACTTGAAATGTTAAAAATGTATTAGCTTGAAAAATGTGAAATAAAACATTATATTAATAAAAACTTTAAAATTATAGTTCATTGCTAGTTTATGGCACTTAATTTATTAACTAATGTAAAGTATTGCAGATGCACTTTTATAAGGCCTTGGGGCAGTGTTAGATTTCATCAGAGCTACTGTTTGTTCAGAGCAACACCTCTGTTGAATCTTGGTTGATTTCGAAACCAAGGCATTTTACAATCGCATCTGTGCTATTTCTGATATCATTTGTGCTCCATTCATCAAAAAGATTTGTAAAAATAAAATAAAATAAAAATGTTAATTTCAGATGTGACATTGTCATAATTGCTGATTCTCTACGATTTGTATTTGCTGTCTTTTCCTCAGCTTCAGAGGGCCATTAAAGAAGAACACAAATCATATTATGCAATCAGCACTGCACATGTGTACGGACAAGAGAAGTATTTGTTGGTAAATAGTTATTTGGCTTACAGGAACTTACACTTTAGGTTTTTTTTCAGTCTGTGGAACTATAGTAATTCTGAACACTTTCTTAGTTGGAAAAACATATCGCGGTTCCTCAAAACATTTGCTCTTAAAACATGCGTTTAAGCCATATGAAGAGTTCAGAGATGTGACCACTATTTATCATGATAGTTTCCCGAAAAAGAAACTGAAACTTTGTCCTACATTTGTTTGTTTTTCCTTCAGCTCCATGAATTCTTTCCAGATTTTGATTTCCTGTCTGAGACCGAACTTTCATGTGACATTGTGTGTCTGATCTATGATGTCAGCAACCCTTGCTCTTTTGAGTACTGTGCACAAATCTTCAAGGTTTGCTTTTACACTTTAAAGAGCAAAGCCAATACTATGCTGTCTAATAATTAAATACAGGGCAATACATTAACACATGACTTCACATCTTTGGTCTTATTCCTTTATGACTGTAATTTACTTTTGTACATGCCATATTCTGCATGATATCTTATGATATTTACTGTGTTCTTTTTATATTATACTTATGTATTTGTACTAAATGCATTTTTGACTTTATTTTCCAGCAATACTTCATGGATAGTAAGACTCCATGTATGTTGATTGCTGCAAAGTCAGACCTGCCAGAAACAAAGCAGCAATAGAGTATGACTCCACTGGAATTCTGTTGCAAGCACAAGATCCCAGCGGATCTTCATCAAACTCACCACCATGTCTGTGTATCCGTAAGTGATCTCTCATTATCCACAATTAAAAGAGTTTGAGGGTATTTTCACACAGGACCGTGGAATTATTACAGTTACCTCTGTTTATCAATTACTTTTAGAGCATCACAATTCAAATGACTATTTTTTTAATTGGATGAGTTTTGTCTTTTGTATTGTCTCTGTTTTAATTGACCACTCTTGTTTATCTCTCAGGGGTTATTTCCACATACAGATAACAATAAAAACAAAACATGGTTAGGTGGTTTACTCTACTCTCTGGAATAAATGATTTCCCTAAAAACAGAAAACTTCTCCAAGCTGTCTGGCTGCAGAGCATCTTATGAGTCAGATGATGGTTTTCTGTTCTTCAATCGCAGTCTCATCATGAAATGACACTGTCTACAGTACCTATGCATTTATATTCAGTACAGTAAGCAAAATCTCCAAGCATGTGATATAAATCATATTTTTCCCAATTGTTCCCCTCATTGTGTAAGACAAGAGAGACAATGTGGACAGAAAACACTAGAGAATGTTACTGGTTTGAAAGAACTTGAGGGAACATTCAAACTAACAATGTGCATTTAATTCTTTCACTTCTCTATTTCAAGATCTGTTCATTCAAAAGTACACTATATTATATCCTATTTCTTAGTGACTCATTTCTGCTGTTTGCCTGTATCTTTCTCTGTGTGTTGGCAGCCATGCTCGTCTGCGCTGCATGTGTACCTGTAACAGATGTACCTTCTGTCTGTGTCAGAACTTCCTCAACTCTGAGCTCATGCAGACGGTTCGGACCAAACTCTACACGGTCATCTTTAGCAGGTTCTCAGGATGGCTTTATCTTGGTTTATCACCTTTCCACTTTACTTGTCTCTTTTGCTTTTATCGAAATTCATCCTCTTTTTTTTCTCCATTTACTTATTCTCATTCCGATTATTAATTTGGCAGTTTGGCAAAGTGCACCTGGCTTAACATGCTAATAAACCTTTGACCATATAGACTACGTGAAAATACATAATTTGACAGGCCTAGGCAGCACTGATGAAGAGGTGACATGTTCTGTGGACTGTCACCTTATTTCAGTGTTGGGCTGTAGATTTTTGGATGGGTCACCAAGCATTTTTGGATACTTTTTCAATTCAGTCCAGTTTCACAAACATGTCAATCCAAAGGGGCTTTAACAAGACTAGTGCCACACAAATCCCCCCAGTGAACAAGTCAAATGACAAGCGAGAAATTCCCAAAGATATTTAAGTAGATAAGAAAAAGCCTTTGATGGAACTAAGAATGTAAGAACTTTCTGGCTGGGGAAGCCCACTTTCTTGAGCTTTATACAAACATGCATGTCTGCATATAGAAACTTGTTCATCTGTGTGTTAGTAGTTTTAATGGTAATATTGACTAACTTGTTAAATTATACATAATGACTACACTGACTTCTAATAAAATAATAATTCATACGATATGCAAATAGAAGGGATACACCCTCATATACTGTATATCCTTGCATATACTACTTACTGATTACACCGCTTCGTTTTGGTTGTTTCTAGCAAAAAGAGTGCCTATGCCTGTTATCATCAGATTAGCAATATGAAAAATATACATCAGCACTCTAAAAAATGCTGGGTTATTTCAACCCATCTTTGGGTCAAATATGGACTAACACAACTTTTGGGTAAAAACTTCAATTGAAAAATTTAACCCAACAGTTGGGTTAGTCCATATATTTGACCCAGAGTTGGGTTAAAACAACCCAGCATTTTTTTAGAGTGTGGAACATACAGGTGCATCTCAATAAATTAGAATGTCGTGGAAAAGTTCATTTATTTCAGTAAGTCAACTCAAATTGTCAAACTCGTGTATTAAATAAATTCAATGCACACCGACTGAAGTAGTTTAAGTCTTGAGACTGTCATGGCAAATGGGCGGCAGGTATGGATTTGGGGTTTAGATTTAAGCATGATCCATTCTTAATGCTTTTCAAATTCATGTTTAAATTTCTTTTAAATTTTGCAACTTGTGACATGTAGAAATGCAGTAGTTCGTTCTCCTACAACTCAGTGATCCAGTTATTACCATTTTCCTCTTTATTTGCTCTTCTTAAGGTTTCTTTGTGTTGTCGATCTGCCATTGCTATTTCCCAACACTGAAATATGTCCTCTTTCTTCATCCTTCATCTTGGATTGAGTTTTGTAATGTTTTAGTATAGCAAATTAATACTATTTTCTTCATTCCCTTTAAATAACTCTTGTTTATACACAAAATGTATCCTCATTTATCCTATTCATTTGAATTCATTGGTTTGTCTCTTTTCAGGCATTATTGTGCACTAAACTTGTGCTTTAGTTTAATTTCGATGTTCACTACAGAAGTTACTAAACTTTTGATTTATAAGCGCTGTATAGTAAATGTAAGGTACTAAAACAAATGTAACCTTTTTATCTATTCATTTCTATTTTCTTTCTCAGGCATATTACCCATGCTGACCTGAAGAGCTTTACATTTTGGCTCAGAGCGAGTGTTGGAGCCACAGTTTGTGCTATGCTTGGCTTTGTCATGTACAGAGCCCTCCTCAGATCTCGATGAGCAGACCCAAAAACGTACTTCCTTCATTTCCTGTCTGCCCTAGTAATTTCCCATGTACAGGGAAAACCAATAGAAATATATAGTTTTTTAAAAAGAAAGCATAAAGTAACATAGCTGTTATATTTCTATTTAATTATTACTGTATATTCCCAGGTCTTGGGACTCTATTTGAGACAGAAAACTAGGATATTTTTCTTGAAATATAATACAAGCAAACTGTAAATATGTAAATGAGATAAAATATTTGTTACAAAGTGAATAAAAGTCTGTCAACTGGATTTCTTCCCCTTTGTCAGTTTCCGCCTTTTCCCAGCTTTTCAATAAACAGGTTCTTCAACAATGTATTTTTGTGAAATCACAACACTTTTTTTAAAATGATGTTTTATTAACAAGGTTCAGGAAGAGCGCGTCGGGGTGGGCTCTAGGTTTCTAGAGTTTGACTCTAGGTTCGGGCCATTCCCGAGCTCAGAGCCCTTCCCCGGACAACTCGTGAATGTAGAGAATGTTCAGACAGTGGGAAACTAACTACCACTATAATCCTATTCAGTTCCACACAAGAGGTAAAAAATAAAATAAACAACTTTTACCAGTGTATCACATAATACAAAATACTGTCTTGCATCATAACTATTTTGTGCTACAGACATAAAGCAGATAATTTCTCTTTAAAAAAGGCTGTAAGCTGACATTCTGTATTTGTAGCATTAAAATGATGTCTTAAAGTACCATTAACATGAAGGTATGGATGAAAGATGAAAATACTAATTTCATGCTAACAAACAACTTCTAAAGCTGATGATTCAGAAAGGTTTTGTGGGTGAGCTGGAGCCTGCATCACCATGAACGTCAACACTTCAGTAGAGACACTTCCCAGTCAATACATTTTGTTAAATCAGTTGACATAAAGATTTTTGTTGCTGAACAAGTGGGCCACAGAGCTGTTTGCTTCCTCCAGTTTTGCAATATCAGTGTGACATCTTGAGGCTTTTCCTTTGGTGGGCCGCACCCCGGCCATCTCCTCATAAACAGGAACTACAGACTGTGGCTTTCTACGGTTAAGCCATGTACACTGTATGTGAGAGGAAATTGATAGAAGGGAGGGTTTAACAGAAACACTGAATATATAGTCAGAAAGACAGCTTCTTTAAACCACATATAATATGGCAAATCTCTGTCACATAAGATGTAAATGCAAATATAAGTTAAATGACTGAGAAGTATTCCAATTACTTCATTTTAAATAAATAAAGATTTAATCAACAGTTTAAGAATTTTTATTTTAATATTGGACATTTTTATTTTGTTGAACTAATGTTCTAATATAAAATAAAAGACATTAAGTTAAAAGTAACTGAGACTGAAATGAGATGATGCATATATATAATATGGTTTTCTCATATCTTTTTTTGTAATGTAATCATTAACGTATTCCCAATGACGAGGGCCATAACACCACTTTTTTGAGGAAAATAAAATTATAACTATGGCCCTATTGTTAAATGCACTTTCTTCTCATTTAATTTAAAAGCAGTCCTCCTTGTTTATAATCTATTTTATTTCTTCTTGTCTAGAGAACAACTAAGTAAAACATGGCAAAGGTTACTCCACTCTCCCCTAAAAATCAAATTTGAAACTAAGCATTAAATACTTACACAGTAAGCTGTAGTGAGAGTGAAAACCAGAACACCTAGCAGACATGCACCTCCAGAGATCACATACAGCAATGGCAGGTAACTTGAACAATTACAAGGCTCATGAGCTGCAACATAGTCACAACAAAAACACACACATAAAGGAAAAAAATAAAGCTCAACAATATAATCTGTTGTAGCATTATATTCACAGGAAATGTCAATGGATGAATTTCTCACTCAGTGGAAATAAACAATATCCCCATGTGCTGAGGTGAAATGACTTAGTCACATTTTATAGATGAATCACATGCACTGCAAAACACATGCAAGTTACACACAGTTTCCGAACACAACTGTGTATCAGATTTTCTTTCACTCATAGTTACATAAACTGGGGTACTAGTAAATTGCACATATATAATGTCTTGATTTAATGGATTACAAAATGTATCCATACAGTTTAACATGATTAAAGTTGACTGAAAAAAATCAGATAATATAAGCTAACATGAAACATAACAGTAATCAATATGTTCTTGTTGAGCTAAGATAAATGCACATTGCAGGGTTAGCCAATCAACATTATACAATTAATTGTCTTACACTTGTATCCAAAAATAGCATGCTACACTGCATGAAAATCATGCTGTAAGTTAAATATTTTCAGTTGAAAATGAAATGTATTCTGTATGATTTTGCTTTTTAACGATTTTTTAAATAGATTGAAAGCAACCTGTTTTGGACTATTCACTGTGTTTGGAGGTGATATTACTATAGACCTGGACTGTTTCATGTAAACTCATTTTTGAAGTGATATCAGTAAAGGTCACCTACAGAAGTCTTCAACATAAATGAAGAACTCCATCTGGCCAGGAACATTCTTGTCATATGGAAGATCACCATAGTGGAATTCACAGTGGTACACGTCTGTGTCCTGTCCTTGCAGGTTTGAGATTGTCAGATGAACTGTGTGGTTGTCCAACTCATCACGTACAGTAATGCGACCCTTGTCCTCAGATTTATTGATAAAGGGTGGGAATTCTTTAGAAAGATACAGCACTCGTCTGGACTGTAGCAACCTGCGTTTCAGCGAAAAGGCAAATGGTTTTTCTTCTTTATTGGGCGATTCACAGGAAATGCCAATGGATGCATTTCTTACTCTGTGGATATAAACAATAGCCCCATGTGCTGAGGTGAAATGGCTTAAAGTTAGTCACATTTTATAGATGAATCACATGCATTGCAAAACACATGCAACTTACACAGTTTCCTAACACAACTGCTCTAAGACTGCCAAAATAAAATTCAGCATTAAGTTTTATGAGGACACTTTTCCTGCATAAATGTAGCATGTCTGACTGCAAAGTGTTGTGGACAAACATTTCTGCATGTAAACTTTAGTTTTACTGCTGACCATTTTATGAGATTACCACAATGTATTCAGTCTTTTATAATAATAAAAAAAGGTTAAAACAGAGTGAAATATTAACTTACCAGGTGTGATAAGAAACAAGAGAACAACATGAGCATACTTAAGACCAAACATTATTAAAAAGTAAATTAAATAAAGAAAATAGTGACTATGGTTAGAAAGCCAGAAAGTCTCCGAGCGTAAATCATGCCACGTAAAAATGAGGAGCACAGTGTTTAGACTCCACCTTGAAGGTTGAAGAGGAAAAGGAAACAAGAGTTGAAGTGGTTTGTCAATTTCAGTTTCATCATTGTGAAAACTTACAGATTTTTGTGTATATTCATCTTTATATTGAAAAATGGACTGTTCCTTACTGTCCTCTTTAATTATTGACAAACTATTTTCCTGCTTTGACATTCAAATCTGTATTGTATAAAGTGCAATATAAATAAAGGTGACTTAACTTGTTTATTAATAAGTAAGTCAAAAGTGTAGTATGTTTTTAATAACAAGGTCGCACTTTAAGTTTGGGGACCAATTCTTATTAACTATTAATTACAACTTTTGCCTCAATAAACTCTGTATTACTACACTCCAAAAAATGCTTGGTTAAACACAACCCAGTGCTGCGTAAAATAGGGACAAACCAAGCAATTGGGTTGTTTTGACCCAGTGGTTGGGTTACTACCCAGAAGGTTGGGTAAAACATCTAACCCAACCGCTGGGTCAAAACAGCCCAATTGCTTGGTTTGTCCCTATTTAACCCAGCATTTTTTAGAGTGTACTTATTAACAGTTCATAAGGTAGTTGTTAAGATGGGGTTAAGGGATGTAGCATATAGTCATGTAGAACAAGGCATTAATATGTGCTCTATAAGTACTAATAAACAGCCAATATGTTAGTACTATGCATGCTAATAAGCAACTAGTTAATAGTCTTTCAAATAATGATAGCAGGCTATTTTACACATAAATCATTGGTGTCTAACCATCCACTAAAGTACAAGTCAATCTCAATCGATTATTAAGGTTAAAAATAATAATCTAACCATAATAATTGGTTAATAATTAATTTGAGTGCTTCATCACAATCTAAAAAGAAAGATGAGAAATGCATATCCACTGTTTTGGCATTTAAACCCTGAACACAAACAGCAACAATAAAAACTAAGTTTAGCGGTCATTTCTTTACTGATTACACCGTTTTGTTTGTTTCTAGCAAAAAGAGTGCATATGCCTGTTATCATCAGATTAGCAATATGAAAAATATACATCAGCACTCTAAAAAATGCTGGGTTATTTCAACCCATCTTTGGGTCAACTATGGACTAACACAACTTTTGGGTAAAAACTTTAATTGAAAAATTTAACCCAACAGTTGGGTTAGTCCAAATATTTGACCCAGAGTTGGGTTAAAACAACCCAGCATTTTTTTAGCGTGTGGAACATATGCTCCAATGGATGGCACTGTCCATTTACTTTATGAGTGCCGAATACCTTTCATCAGTGGACATTAACTTTATTAATATCACAGGATCAATAGTTATAGTGCCTCTTAGTGGAAATACAGAGAACACATACACATTGGTGAACAGAAACAGGCTGGTCATGTCAGTTGTTTACATCAGGAGACATGCACATGCTGTTACACATCTGAGAGGGTGGGAAAGTAAGTAGTTAAAAAGGACTGTAATGTTCAAAAGAGTATGGGAGGAAGATACACTAAATTTGGTTAAGTTATTAAATTACAATTATTTGGGCAAGAAATGCAAACTCCAGCATATCATGGAACAACAACAACAAGCTCACAGAAAATAAAGCATACATTGACTACAATGTAATCAGTTATCATTTTGTTTCTCCCTTTGTTTTTGATTACAGCAGCCATTCTCGTGGGCACTGACTCACTTTTGACTACTACTGTAAATATTATTGTATATTCTAACCACCAACAAAGTTCCAACCAGTCTGCTATTGATTAAATTCATGAACATGGGAGAAAATTGAAAATAAATATCATACTGATCCCTGTGGAGATGATTTTACACCTTTAAAGACACCTTGCAACTCAACATAATCTGTGAAAAACAAAAAACAAACAAGAAAAACCTTGTCAAATAACATTCCCAAGTATCAGTGTTGTATGCAGACTACACAAAAGCATTTTTTCTTTGTTTAAAACAACTTTTAACAAAATCTCTTAAACTTCACCTTTGTAAAGGGTGTTGTTTTGAGGCTTTTTAAAATGCAAGAGGTAAAGGAAACCACAGTAAACATGTTTTAAAATGTGGCTTCTTGTTTTTTTAGTGTGTTCTCAAATGTTTTGAACAGGTCAATTAGATTTTATTTTTAACTATTTAAGGTTTAACGTTTAGGGCTAGCGAAGCACTGGATTTCTGCTATTCTAAATGATCTAAAAGCACTAGTAGCTTTGGTTAAATAGATCTGGAAGACAGATTAACACAAAAATGTATGCACTCCTTTTTGATCCAAACCCAAGAAATGGCATACCAAAATTAAAAAGATACGGTTCATGAAACCTTTGGATTAGAAGCATAATTGTGGTCTAAGACAATGAGTGACAGATGTCTTACTCTTTTAGCTTTACTACTGCAATTTGTAGAAAACAAATGAAAAATCCTTAGACTAGTACTGTATATTGCATATTGAAATCCAAGCAATGACACACAGTCAAATTAGATTACAGATGTTTATTTCACATTTGTAAAATAACAAAAACAAACTACCTTCTCCGCTATAAATCCTAAGAATACTTTTCGGCACTGTGTTTATATGTTCTGACAAAATAACACCAAATTGGGAAGGAAAGATGTAAACCTATGGTATGAAATCAAATAGCACGCCTGTAATTTTGAAGTAATCATAAACACTATGGTTACATGGTTATGGATTAGGGTTAAACTAAACTCTGAAAGATAGTGGAGCAGGGTTGGCAACCCCTGATTTAAGGGCATGAAAAATCTGATAGATCTAAACACAGATGTTACCCTTAATAGCATGACTGTCTGGCAAACACTTGACTGGTTAAATATCTTGAGTCAATTTTTCCTGCTTTTCCCCAAACGCTAAAACCGTTTCTGGTCAATTCATTACACGAGTAAAAGTAAAACCATGGGTGAAATTCAAAAACATGCAGTAAAATCAGATCCTTTACAATGTAATTCACACAGTGGCTCTTACCTGCAGACCAGGAAATGCTTCCAAGCCATTGCACGAAAATAACACTGGTAACTGAGAAATATCAATCATGTCACAGACAAATGTGTGGTGCATTTTAAATCCAACTTCTGGAAAGCTCATTCATGCAACTAGGTTAAGCAAAAATGTATAACTTAACCGTTAAAAATGTTAAGGAGTGATTACAGCTTTACTCTTTACTATAAATGACTTTTAATAGTGTTAACACGAAATACCTTTATGAACATTCCAGAACAAACTTATTACAGAGTGAGTGCATCTGTAACGTCATTATGGCTTTATCAAGAAAACCAACCTGCCTGATGACTCCACTGTTCAGGAAACACACTCACACAAAAACAAAATCAAGAAGAAAAAAAAAAAACCAAATTAAGTACGTTTTATTACAGTACATATAGCAAACAAAAATTACAGAGAGACACATTTACTCTTGTGCTATTTAAACCCTGAATAAATGGATGCAAACAAAAACAAAACACCATGACAACAGTGATCTGAAGCCCTCACCAAGCTGATGTTGGGGACGTAGAGTCCAACAGCACAGTATGGTGCTGTGAGGGCTTCACTACTAAGATTATAGCAGAAATCTTACTGGGAACTTGCCTTGAGTATGGAGATACTGTTAGGCCAGCGGCTTCAATATATTATGAACCTTTGTCTAATATACTGTACTTGTACAACCTGAATGAAACAATAGGAAAAAAGCAATACATGTATCAACTGTAACACTGATACTACTGTTATCTTCTTTGTCTTTATTTAAGGGCTGGATCCAAAACTCTTGTGTGATATTACATCTCTCAAATGTCCAGTATGCAGTTTTTCTTCAGCAGTGGGTTTAGAGCTCATTGGATTGGCTACGCTAAAAGCACAAGATGAGAAAAGGTTTAACCTCCAAACCTAGTGGGATGACAGCGCCATTTCAGTATCGGCTGCCTGGAGACATTACAGGTGGCCTTATGCCCATAGGAGGCCCAGCTTGGTATGGAGGCACCATTGGGGCACTCTGTCCATAAGGAGGCATGCCACCAGCCATATAACCAGGCATGCCCTGTGGAGGACCACCATACTGACCTGAAAGCAAAGGTACATAGTGACTAAACACCTAACCTTGAAGCAGTTAAATCTACCATATTTAATGATTTGGGTGAATGCATTTACTTGAGCAAGTTTTAAATCATTTTGCACTCAACTCTTTTCCCGTTATTGACGAGTTATCTCATCTTTTACAAGAAAACGCTTCCCTGCCAAAGACAAGTTTTCACGGCTTTTCGTGTTTTCACTGTTATACACTCGAAGGCGCTATTACACATCTTCTGAACGAGTACAAAACCTCCCGAACAAAAACACACATGAACAGGACGGAGAAACGAGCGATCTCTTATGTAAACAGATGCATATGAAAAATAATGCAATCATCAGCAATAGACAGCATATAAATGAAAACTGCATAATGTTACAGAGTAAAATGTTGATTCAGGAAGTGGTATATGTCTGTGCAAGCTTTGGAGGTGTTGATGGAAGCGATTTACTGGATTTATGCTTTGATAATCGTACTGAATATTATCCAGATGTAGTTTTTGTGATAAAAATGTGATTTTCTCACCTTTTTGCTCAAAATGATGCATTTTTTATGAAACTTACCTATGTTCAAGTGTTGATAAAAAAAAAAAGAATGCTTTAAGCTAGAAAAAAAGTAGAGGCTCTGATCTTTATTTTGGTGTATTGCATATTCAGATATTCATACAGCAAAATATACTGGAGGCCATCAAATTTTAGTGAAAATCATCAAAATCGCTGGGGTGGCTGGCAAAATGTTTTCACTGATGGGGAAAGAGTTAAAATTCCCTTATTTTAGTAAGTCAACATGTGTTTATGGTATTCAGTGATGATCTATAATCCTTGACTATGACTGGCATTTACAGCAGTTACACCATCTAATTACATCTGTATAACTGAGCCACTGCATGATTTATTGCCTGGTAACCACTCTGCTAATCAGTACTGAAGAACTACATTGTTTGGCGGAAGCATGCTCAAATTACATTTTTTGTGTAAACATGTTTATTTTATGAAATGTTGTTAGGTATGTGTAGTTTTATAAAAACAATAATTAGAGCGAAGCTGTGGTTTACAGTGATTTTAAATCAGCAGAGTTAAACAATTCCCCTTATCTACTCT